TGACACTGCACGGAGAGGGAGGATGAAAGAGCAGACAGGCACACACATGTTACCTCTGTCCTGGCATAGCAATGCTGCTCTCAGAGCAAAGTTTTAACTCTGGCCCCAAGTGCTAGGCCACTGCTCCAGACTGGACTGCCTTCCTGCCTTTAGGTGCCTAATACTCAGTAAAATTGGGCAGAGCAAGTGCCTCTCATCAGCATGACCTCTGGAATGCCCTGAAGGGTAAAGCTCTGTCACCCACATTGCTGTGGAAAACCCTGCCAGGTTCTTTAGATGCTGAGGGTGCAGGATTCAGCCACACTTACCTTCAGGCACCTTGATCCCTGCGGCCCTGGAAAGCTCATCGGAGATGAAGCCTCTGAGGTGGAAACCTCACCCAAAGATGGAGAAAACCACTCTGCCTCTCTCAGCAAGTTCTTGCTTCTTTCTAAAAGAAATTAGGCAAACAGCGGATTAGGCCAAAAGTTCAAGGATGGACTTGCTGAGCCTAAACCTCCACTGTCTGCCTTTTGTGACACCTCATGAAGAAACTGCTGCTATTCCAATTTAATAGCATTTTCTTATTCTTGCAGAGGTATGGGCAGTGGCACAAGGCAGCAGAAAACAGGTCCATGACAGGAAAGCAAACACATTGGCAAAGATGTTCAGGCACTGTATTTCACCCATCTTTGACACCAACAGCTCCAACCAGCTCCACATTATGGAGGTTTAAAACACGAAGAATCAGCCACCTCATTTCTGCTCAAAGCCACAGCCACAATGCAAAACCCTTCCCATACAGAGGTCAGCTGTGTTGTAAAGGCACAACGGGACACCTGACCTGACCATGAGATCTCTAAACCAAAGAGAGGCTGGAATACCATGTCCCAGAGTGTTAAAAAAATTGGAGTAACTGGGAAATTGTTCCTATGATCTCTGTCTTTCTTTGCAGGTGCCATGGATGGCACTTTCTTCCAGAACAGACTTTTCACTTGATTGTTCAGGTCAGAGACTGTAGATCTGCTAGAAGGATAACACTGACAGTCCCTTAAAAGCTTAGCAATGCCTACTGGAACAGTTACTGGGGGTGGGGATGGGGTGGGAACTACTTTGATGGGGCTTCCAACAAAATCATACCTAGAAGCAGCTCTGCTGAGCAATTCAGTTGTGTTTTCAGAGATGAACAGTCTGGCAGCAGAATCTCTGCCTCCCCACCTAGCCCTGTTCACATTGTTCTCTCAGTTGTGCCAGCACAATTTTTTTTCCTGCAGCAGCACTGTGAAACACACCACTTCAGGGGAAAAAAAAAAACAACAAAAACCCCAAACAATGACGCACTTGTTAGAACCAGCTCGGCTCCCTGGTCGGATTTACAGTACAGCCAACAACTGCAGTGGCAGAAATTCAGGAGGCAATGTGCTGTGAGGCCAGGGCAGGATAAAGCAGAGGGCTTGGAACATTTTAAGCTGATGTTGACAGAACAGACAACATATCCGAGCTTAACAACAGGTGGGAGAGTGACATAATAAGGGAAAGCATTAGGCTTTTATAGAAAGAAATAGGGAATTGATATTTAATTACAGGAGAACTGCAATGAAGTTCCATTATTGAAAACATCTCACCAATTTGATACAATATTTTTTATCAAAGAAAACCTAATAATAGAGCTACATTGACCTCCAGACTCAGTGTTCATCGGTGCTTCCCCACTGATAAAAGCAGACATTTATATGCTAATGGTCAAGGGCTAGAAAGATCAGAAAAATAAACAAGGAATTAAGATGTCCTTTAACTCCATTTCAGTTAACAAATTGCCATGAGTCTTCAAACGATTTGTGAGAGTCTCTCAGGTTCCAACATAATGTGGAGCAAAAGTTCTTTAAAAGGGACAGAAAAAGGTTTCAAGAGCTGTGGATGGAAAACAGAAGGAAAATCCCTTCTGTTATAACCAGTACAATGTTGTGTTTTGGTGCTATTTATTTAATGTTGTGGAGAACACTGAGAACAATGATTCTTTTTGTATAAATGCTTCATGATGACACCCAATCACGCTGTAGCCCATCATCATTACCCTGAGGGAGATGAAAGAGAGTGTTGTGTTTTTCCTAATAATAAAGAAACCCAAACCACAAAACTATACCTGGGACACAGACACCTCACTGAGGCATTGCTGCCTTCCCCCAGGGAAGAGATACATATTCTCTGGATGCTGTTTTCCTGTAGCACAAAGCTGTTTGGGGAAGCAAATGCTGGCAACAGTGACATGAATCCTCTGCTAGACCTGTGATAGTTCTGACATCTGGCAGCTGTCTGAGGGCAGCTGGGGTTGGACAGAGGATACAATTAAACAGAGTCAAAAACATCTAAGGATCCTCGGTGAGGAAGCTGAGCTGTCACTCATTTCTCTCCAGGCAGCAGGCCAGAACCCTTGGGTAGGAGTGGGGGGAGAGCAAGGGCCAAGCTGGGGGGGTTTGAGGCACAAACAAAGCTAGTTCCCACCAGCCAAGCACAGTGAGAAAGGGAAAAGAGGGATGAAAGAATTAGAGTAAGCTCTTATTCTATAGAGTAAGCTCTATAAGGCAATTCAAAGAGCACCTCTTCTTGGAGGCACTGATTATTATGTCCAGTCATCACAGCAAAATGCGAGTACTGTCCAACTAGCAATGAGGGAGAGCATGTGGAGCCCTGACAGAGGGCTTGGGTAGAAGACAGCAATACTCCTGATGAAACAAGGCAGATGAGATGGCTCAGGGAAGCCATGAGCTAACTCAGACCCTGCCAGCTCAGCTCCAAGGACAGCTGGGAAGGGAACAGCAGGTACCCATTGTCAATGCCAACATGGAATGAGCTGGAGATGCTAACCCTCAGGATACAAATGTCTCAGTAACAGAGGCTGCCACGTAGAATCATAGAATATTCTGAGCTGGAAGGGACCCACAGGGATCATCGAGTCCAACTCCTGGCTTTGCACAGGACAACCCCAAAATCCCCCATGTGTCTGAAAGCATTGTCCAAACGAACCTTGTCAGGTTTGGTGCTGTGACCCTTTCCCTGGGTAGCCTGCTCACCCCCTTCAGGAGCTGCCTCAGAAGGACTAAATCCCTTTCCTGCACTTTGCCAGAGGTCATTTCCAGGAGAGGGCAGACTTTTAAGTCATACCTGCTCCAAGCTTTGCCAGTTCAGGATTTAAACAGACGACCTAACCTCACAAAGCTGGCAAATCTCCTACCTTCTGCATCAGTAAAGCCACAGCCATACTACCCGTGCTCCACAAGACAAATACTCTATCCACAGGCAGGTACCAAAGCTGGCAAAAGAGAACGGCAAGATGAGAGATCAGTCCCCAGCGTCTCTGAGCTTGCCAGTCCACCGCCTGTGAAAGCAATCTGCCACAGGAGCTGTCCTGCAGAGCTCTGAGCAGCCACCAGCCAGCAGCACCCTCCTGTGACACACTCCTGCAGCTCCCAGGCAGCTGCCTTGTCCCTGCTCTCTTGTAACACGCACACAGGGCTGGGCATCCCCCGAATTCCCCGAAGGTGCGTCCCCTCTACCTGAGGTGGCCAAGCCTCTGCTGGGTGCTCCACGCTTCCATCCTGAGTTTGTGTAAACTCTTAAGATTGTTCTTTGGAAGGCTGTGCTTTGTGGCTGCTCAGCACCTGAGAAAGGGAGGACAACCCCTTCCAAGCATTTTCCGGAGGTAACCTCTGATCCAGCACATTAAACCTTGCAGGAAAATCTCAGAACAACAGAGAAAAAGTAGGGAGCTGGACGGAGGAGATCTTTCTGCCCTCCCACCCCAAGGGGCATGGATACAATAAGGAAAAGCTCTTGGGGTTCTAGAAGCTATAAGGGGACTCCACAAAGCAAGAAATTCACATTTCTGAAGGGATTCTGTCCCTAAGAACTTGCAGCTTTGGCGTCCTGGCACTTCAATAAACTCAAGACTTCAGGCTGGATGGAGAACGTTGCACAAGAACTGTAAAAGATTATGTTAAGCTGCTATACCGATTAGGGTAAGGAGATCCAAACCCGAGCCTTGGTCTCAACGTGGTAAATACGTTGGTAGGAACAGGGAAGCTGCAAGGAACACGGGCTTTCACATGGGGAAGGAGAAAGGATTGCGAGCGCAGCCGCCTCGCTAACTGTTTTAGTGAGCAGTACCCACCCAAAAGGGCAGGCGGGACTCTCCAACAGCGTGTGGGGACACAAAAATATGCACAACCCCGGGCGGGGAAAACGTGCCCTGAGCAGACGGAACCGCCCTCAGCCCGCGCTGTCTGGGATGGTCGAGCATGCTGGGACATGGAGTCCTCGCCCCAGTGTGCATTGCGCGGCGCCTCGTCTCCCTGGAGACGCGGCGGGGGCGCCGCGTTGGGGGGGGGGAAATCCCGTCCCGGCGGAATACGCTCCCGTGGTGCCCCGCGCGGGCATTTGGAGGCGGCGCGTGGCGGAAGCGGCTCCGGGGCGCGTCTCGGCCCCGCTCGGACCATCGACGCCGCACGCGTTCAAAGGTAATGACGTCAACCGCGGCGGCGTCAACTGCTCCCGGGGCCTGAGGGAGCGCGGGGCCGGCCCTAGGGGGGTCACGGGGGGGGCGGTGACCGCCGGGAGGATTCGGGGCGCCCCTGCGGCGACCGCGGTGCTGGGGGTGCCCCGGAGGCCGCTGCTGCGGCGCGGGAGGCGCGGTCAGGCCGCCCGGTGCCGCAGGGCGCGGTGACTGCCGTGCCCCGGCCCGCGCGTGCGCAGGGCCCTGCAGGCGGGTCCCTGACCGGCGGGCACCGGGGAGTTGCGCAATGAGGCATCAGGGCAGAGTCCTACGGGCAGGTTTAAATTTTAATCTGAGCGTGGAAGCGCCTGCACACTGAAGGGCTGAGCACCTCATCCGCTCGTAAATGGGCTGTGGACACTGCTGTCCATGGAAGGGGCCTCTCCCCACTGCCTCTGCCCCCTGTGTCCAACTGCTCCTCCTCTGCCCTCCCCAGGGGCAGTCTGCAATAAATCCATCTGCAATAAATCGATCTGCAATAAATCAATCTGCAGTATCAGATACAGATTAATCTGCAATATCCAGTAAGAATCCATCCGCAATAAATGTAGCCCTTTCCTTGGGGAGTGTTGTTGTATTTGCCACCTGAGGTGTTTGCGTGTCCTGCTGTACTGTTCACATAAGAAGTAAAAGGGGAGTGAGGTGCTGAGAGAGGTGGCGTCTCCAGAATTTGGAGAATTTAATGCTGCTTTCCCAAAGCACAGCAGCAGAATTAGGGGTGGAACCCAGATAAAAAGACTGTCGCCGCCAGAGGGAAACCTTTTAGCCCTGCAGCTTGCTCTAGATTTCACTGTGACAGAGCCAGCCCTGGTGCACTGATAGACACTGGGAAAACAGCAAACCTTAGATTCACATCTCTCTAATTTCTTATGACAATTCAATTCAGCGTCCTAAACAAGAGGCACAAAACTGATTAAACCTTGGGTTGACAGAAGGATGCATCTTTATAGTAAACTTAGTTTTCACTCTGTGTTTCCAGATGGGCAGGTCTGGCTGCCACTGTCACCTGTAAAGTCACTTTCAGATTTATTTCACTGATATTTAGAGTAATCAGTGCATTGCATTTTCAGGCTTAATGTTACTTTACTGGGCATCTCTCTGAATGTTAGACCTGACCTTTAGGGCCCCCTGGGAGAATGGGAGTTGTCATAACCTGTAAAGAGACTGATGTTACTGTGCAGGGCATCAGTAGTGGGGTGCATGGGGTTTTGGCCATTCCACCCGACAGTTGCAGATCTGAGCCCTGTCCTGGTCATGCTTCCCGCTGCCCTGGCTTGATCCCTCATTTCTAGACTGTGTTATAACACATCCAGCCCTGGAAACAAATATCAAAATGTGGCTGTGTCACTCCACAGGGTGGAGCTGGGGGTTTTGGGTGGGGGGTCTAGCGCTGCCGGGAGCTTCACAGCCTTCATTTCCACACAAGTGTTTCCTGCTGAAGAAATAAAACACGCAGTTTATCATATGAGCAAAACAGAAGTACCAGTTTCTTTCTGGCCCATGATAAGAAAAAACAAACTGTAAAAGCTTTATCTAAACCAAACCATCTGATTTGCATTGGCAAGACCTGATTGCTCATACTTCCCTCTAGGTTTCTGAGCAGAGCTGGATAAAGGGCAGACTGGAGCTGAATGCAGTGCCTGATTCTTATCTCACACACAGCTCACTGCACAGCTTCCAGAAACTCTGAATCCTGGGGTGCAAATCAACTGAGTTTAAAAGGAAGGCCCTGAGCTGGCTGCCCTATCTGGGTTGCAAATGAAGGGGGGCTACACTTCCTTCCACTTTTTTACATTCCTGCATGTTCCACTAGAGTGGTGTCCCTGTTCTAATGGAAATTTGTGTTTCTTTGCCCGAAGGTTGGATGGTACAATGCTGTTGTCCAGCCAGCCTTTCATCTCCCCTACCCAGACGACACACTGGCCTTCGTGATCCTCAGCACGCCTTCAATGTTTGACAAGGCCCTTAAACCTTTCGTGAAGAAAGAACGATCAAAAATAATCAGGGATCCCGTGGATCAGTGTATTTCCTATCATTTATCACGTGTGAAGGAGGTAAGAAGCTGAAATACCGATTCCTTTTGCTTTCATGGCATAAAACCAAGTGGGTTCAGCAGCAGACAGAGCCTTGCAGGTCCCTGCCTGTGCTCTTTGGAAGGGTGAAGTGTGATTCATGAAGGTAATAAGAGCATCAGCAGCCTGGTGACCTGCATATTCTGTCTCTGCCATCACAGCCTGCAGCTGTGCAGGGACCTTCACAGCCTGGGCTGATGTTTTCCAATTTTCCCAGAAATTCCCTGACCAGAGGGTGGATGTCATGTTTGATTATGAGATCCTGCCGAGCCGAAAGCCCAAGTTCTTGGCACAGACAGCTGCCCACGTTGCTGGAGCTGCATATTACTACCAAAGGAAGGATGTGAAGCATGATCCATGGGGGAAAAAGGTGAGGCGAAAACACAGCCTGGGAAGAAACACTAAACTGCAATCACTGAATTGTGCAACTGTTGTTTACTCACTAGTTACTAGTTCTCCTTGAAGGAAATTACAAAGTCCAGATCACATAAAGGTGCACAAAGTATTTCATGTGGGAATTGGAAGCTTCCAAGATCCTTCAGGGTGGTGGGGAAATGCGTACATGGAGAGAAATATCTTGATGTCTTAAACCTACGCAGAAGAATAAATTGCAGTGCAAAGGCAAACCTGTTGCTTGGAGCATTATAAGTGGGGAAAAAATACACTCTGGTTAACCTCTGTGTTAGATTTTCAGAAATGAACCTCTCCCCCCGTTACAGGGTGGGGTGTGTGGGCACGGGAAAATGGGAGTGAAAAGTGATGCTCTGAGCCATATGTTCAGGAAAGAGCTTTCCTTTCTGCTCTGTACAGCACTCCAGCAGAGGGCTGCGAGTGTGAGAAGTTGCATTGAAGCTCGATGCTTTGAAGTTTAACCTTTACTAGAGACAAAGTGAGACATCCTACATATTTCTTTTTTTTTTCTTCCAGAAGATCTATGGCGTGTGTATCCATCCCAAGTATGGCGGTTGGTTTGCTATCCGGGGTCTCCTCCTGTTCCCAGACATTCAGGTGCTGTTCCTGGAGCAGCCTGCCCCCGTTGACTGTGTGAGCACAGAGGAGAAAAGGATTGAGTTGCTGGAGCAGTTCAATTTTCACTGGCAGGACGGGCGCTACAGGGACATCATTGAGGTGAAGGAAAGGTATTCAGAGGAGCAAAGAGTCTACTTTGCCACCCCTCCAGCCGAGAGATTCCGACTGCTGGGGCTGACACAGGAAGCCCAGAGAATCGAATTTCAGTGAGTAACTGGCTGCAGGGAGGGGCAGAGGGCAGCAAAGTGTAACTCATCAGCGCCGACCTTTCCCTGGTGCCGAGGAGGAGAATTGTGTGCGTGTATAAAGAGATGGCAAATCCCAGCAGCGTGGGCAGCGTCTCTGTCCAAACATCAGCTTCCCAGAGAGAGGGAGTACTGCTCCATAGCAGTGCTGGGGGAAGGTGGGAGCAGTGCCTTCCGTGCTGCTGCTGATGGGGTGTGTCTTTTGGGGAGTCCATCTTTTTGGTAAGATGCTGATTGGCCTTTGGTTGGGAGTAGTTCATACACCCTGGCACCTGGAAAACCCCTGGTACTCACTAGAGAAGTCATTTTTGTTCTCAAGAATTTTCTTTCCAAGTGTCTTTGTAAGTGTAAAAAAAGTTCAGCCATAGTACTCCAAAAGGGCAAATACTTTTTTAGATGTACCCAGCATTTTATTATCCTATGTCACAACTCTCCTTGGGGAATAGATGTTCGGTCTTTTCAGTCTTTTCTTCCTCAGAAAGAAAATCTGCCCTGTATTCCTTCACTAGGAATGAAGCTGGCTTAATTTAATTAAGAAGTCTTTAAATGTCTCCTTTCCTTACCATCCAAAAGAAAATTCCTCAGGGATTGTTTCAGTGAGTTGTGTGGTCTGTACATGGAACAGGAGTGAGGAGAACAGAGCCAACGGCATCTGCTTCCTTCAGGGTGGTTAGGGAAGGGAAAGGGGCAGTACAAAGGTGCTGTTTCCTCTTCACCCACAGCTTCTCAGAACACCATGACATCCTTAGGTCCATTTTAAACATCTACCCATTTATAGAGCAGCTGACTGAAACACTTGGAAAGATGCTGAGTAATCTCTGTGGGAGTGGAGGTTTTACTCCTGTCAGGGTAACTGACTGAAAAGGACAACTCTCATGACCTTTTCTGAGGTAGATGACATTTGTATTTAAAGCACTTTTCAGTGCCAGCACACACCACACCCCCCCAGAGTTACTGCCATAGTTTGCTGGTGTGCTTTCTGTGTGAGGGAGATTGTAAACCTGCACACACTTAAAAACCATCACATGAAGCCTTGTCACACACACAGGCAAACAAGCAGAGAAAAAGGAAAATATTAATGGCATTCACATTACTTATGTTGCTGGATAAAACATCTTCAGGCAGAAACATAGCATTCATTGGTGACTTTGTCCTCTTAGGTTTGTTCAGAAGTTACGATGGCGCTGGGAACTGGGAATTAATTTATCTTGGAGCGATTTGAGGCTCAGGCCTTGTTAAAATAATATAATACATTAAAATAGTATTTTATTTTTGTGACTCCAGTGCAATGCTGCAAATCACTAAGCACTTTTTTCCTTTCAATGGTATCAACGTGATGCAAAAAAATACTCACTTTGCAGAACTGAGCCCTTTCTTTTTATGTTGTGATTCTTCCTACCTTTTGGAGACTCAAACATGAAGGTTGCCCTCACAACAAGTCCCTGCTTGGTACAGTCTTTCATAGTCTGTGCACTAACTCAGCGTAATCCAAATTCAGTATAACAGGTTTGTTTCCCTGTAAACAGAGTAATGGGCTTGTGATCACTGGGTTTGTTCAATGCATTTGCTGTTACAAAAAAGTCTTTGTTGCTTTCCATGCTTTGTTCACCTCTGACTAAGGCAGACACCTGACTTACTGTGTGATAGAGGTATTGTGATTTTTAATTTAAGTGAAATAATGAAATTTGTTTAAATTCTGTTCTTTTGTTATAGAATTACTTCTGGTTGAAATTTGTTTGACCTTTCAGAACTTTCCAGTTGAACTGTAATTTAACAGGGGCTTGAGCTAATGGCTCATATTAATAACAAACACAAAATACTGATTATCTCAGAAGGATAAATATAGAATGGAATAAGATCTATCTTTTTACATTACGATTTAAAGTAAAATAGTTTGAGTTTTTGCATTGATTTCTTACAAATATTTAATATTTTGTCTTAGTTAATTTATTAAACAGATTACCACAGTCACTGCATTTCAATTTTTGTAATGTATTTCTCTTCACATGGTATTTTGGTTAATAAAATATACAAAGTTGTGAGTAACCCTCAGTACTGAGTATTTTTATTTAAACAGTGGATTTTTTAACTTGTGGAGAGCTCAAGATGTTCAAGCAAGGATTGATCATTTTGATTTTAACATCCTGAAAATAGTGAGCTACCTAAGACACAAAATCCAGTATCTGCAAACTGGAGGAAAAACTTAGTTATCTTAGCAGAAGTTAATAAACTATTATCACAGGCTCATCTGGGATATGAAAAAATAAAACACACAGCACATTATGAGTAAGTCTAATAAAGTTTTATCTCTCCCAGGTCATTGCAGCAAGAGCAGTTAACAGCAAGCACCTAACAGGGCACTTCTCATTTCTTCCTCTGTTCTTACAGCAACAAAAGTTCAAGATGTCCAGCGATACACAACCGAGGGACTTTTCCCTCAGGAACATTAAAGTGATACCTCTAAGTACTGGAATTCTTATTTGTTAAAACCTGTTAGTGAATACTGAGTCACAGTGAGGGAAATCCGTGTTCCTTGTGGTTCTGGGAATGCAGTTGTATCAGGCTGGACTGAGTACAAATGTTTGGTGACATCCATTCCTACTGCAGTAATTTCGGAGTGACCTGGATTGGGTGTCACTGTCTTTTCCTTAGTCAGGTAACTGAGATCCACAGCTGCCAGTGAGCAGCTTTCTTTCCTTGCTGCTGGGAGTATAATGGTCTTTGTCTTAATAAAATTGAAGTTTGAGAACCTGTTTGACTTATCTCAACTCTTGGGGCAAGACCAGGCACGGTGAGGAACAGATCCTCCTTGGATCCCGAGGCATTGGGAAGGCATTCTGATTTTCAGCACTCGAGAATGTCAAACAAGCAATTGCAAATACTTGGATAGATTTACTAGCTCAAGTATCACACTTTACATTTTTAGACAACCAGGTTTTTTTCTCTAAATCCGAACCTTTAAACATTTATTAAAGACTCTTTTTTTTTCCCTCAGCATGACCAATAGAATGAATATTGAAGAGCTGAACAGTAAAAATGAAATAAATTAAAATTGAATTTAATTTAAATTCAGTTTTAGCAGCAAGATATTCAGCATATTTCAAGCTAATAAAATATCCTATGGAGAATTAACAATTTGTTTTCATGCACATAACATACATTGTTATTCACCTTCAGTTACATTTTCTCTTTTTTTACTTCATTAACCTTAAAATAACTGAGATTTTTTTAATTAAAATTAAAGATGTGACAGAAAATACCAATTAAATACAAAGCACAGTCTAATCTGGTGACGAGCAGTCGTGAGTGTTACTGCTCAGAAAAACACCAGGGAAAACACTGCTGGGTTTTTTTGGTACCAGTTAATTCAGTCACATCTCAGTGGTGCAGGAATAAGCACTAAAGTTTCTTTGTGGTATGAAGTGGAGTGTGGCAAACTTAGTTCCTGATACTGACTTATTTTCTTCTCCTGGAAAAAGAGTGCCTTGTAACAATCCCGTCTTCCTCTAAACTGTGGGAAAACTGGAGATGGTTTGCTGTGTTAATCAGTGTTGGTGTGTCAGCCTCGGGAGAGCAGTGCACTCTTCTGGTTTGTTGTTTTGGTGGGGGTTTTAAAGTTTGGCTTGGTTTGGGGGGTTTTTTTTAGAGCTAGATTGCCCTCCTCTGGATCAGAAGCATAATTGTGCTCATTCAGTGTAGTATTCATGACGTTTTATTAATTTGTGACCAGAATTGGTGTAGCTACTATTTAACATGGGGTACGTTTCTGAAAAGGCACAGAGACTTGAATTTGACTTAAAAAAACCCACCTGAGTAATGACTTACACATTTCTAAAAACAAGGAGTGGCAGCTCCTGATCAGCACCACCGTGATTACCATCACTCTTTGTTCAGCCCCATGCAAAAAGTATATTTAATGAATTAGCTTTGAATACTGATTTAAGCAGCAGCAGTTCAAAGTTCTTCCTCTGAGGGGAAGTGGTTTTGCCGTTGACTGCAGCAGAGAAACAGCTGTACCTCTGCAACCTTAACTTTCACAGATTCACCTACCAAAGTAGACAAATGTATTCATGAAACTTTTTTCTTTTTTTGCTGTTAAGTTGGCTTCCAATCCTAGCAAGTATCCTGTGACAGATCATCCACCACGTTTGCTTCAGAAAACAGAGAACTTCCCTTCTGGGTTTTTCAAGGGGGAAACAGAAAGCACCAAGGAACACAAATGTGCTTTTCTTTTCTCTCTGTGACTGAAAAAGCAGATGGATGTTCACATTCCTCTGGAAACACGCTGGGAAACTTTAAAAAAAATGTGTTATCATAGAATGAACAATAAGATATTTTAGTGGAATGTTTAAAATTTCTCCAGCAATATGCTAAAATCTGCAAAACATGATTATATATATACACGAATATTTAAAATGTCTACTATTGTTCATTAATATTGCATCTATAATACATTTCCCATTTTATGTTATTTTTGTTGATGTTTGTACATAACTCAGTGAGCAAGAGGTTTTATTTTTAATAATTGCATATGTTTAATTTCCCCAAAACGTTTAGAAAGGTGTCTGAAAATCATACACCTTTACACTAAGTTGTTTGGGGTTTTTTTCTCATGTAAAACAAAGCATGGGATAGGAAAATTCCTGTAAGTAAATTAAAGACAGGGAAGGGTGGGAGGATTTTTCTGGGTTTCTTAAATTTATGCAGAATCATTAGTTTTTCTATGAATGCATAAACCCTCTTAATCCTTCTAAGGGATTTAGCTGATCTTAGGTTTTAATTTCCTGTCATAACCCTTTCTCCAGTGTTGTTCTGACTAGTCTTCCTGAATTATTCACTGTTCCTTCAGTCTTCCAAACTGTAAAAAACTACCCTATTTTTGTGAATGTGATGAAATACGTTAATTTTAAATTATATTGTTTTATTAAGTGTAGGTTAAAGACTTCTTTTCTCTCTGGACAAAGGATATTAATCTCATTTGTCAGTGCAAATATGTCAAAAATCTGTTGCTGTAGAATATGGAACATAAACCTACTGGGCTGTTTCAGAGGACAGTGCAGTCTTAATGGTTTCATGTATATTCATATATATATATATATATATATATAGTCATATATCTGTGCTGAAATGGTATCTTGCACAGAAGCATTCTAAATTCAGACACGTGTCCCATAATGACTTAAGCTTCAGGTGAAAGAGCCAGATTTCACAGTGAAGCCCAGAGCTTTCATCACTAGGTGTGGTGAGAGTTGCTTCCCACAGGCACAGCTCCCGTTTGGGAGCACTGCAAACAACCCACAGCCTGTTCTCCTGCAGCCACCCAAGTGTGTGCAGCACAGAGGAGCTGGTGATGCAGAGCTGCTTGATTTGCA